GGGCGCTGGGCGCTGGGTGCTGGGCAGAGGCCGCGGGTCACAATGGGTGGGCGCTGGGTGCTCTCTGCAGTCCTACGTCGTCGTGTTCCCGACGTGCTGAATGGCTTTCTGCGCCTTTGATTCTGGCTTTTGAATTAAGTCCTGTTATCTCGCTTATTTCTCCGCACAAAATCATTCTTCTCTTTTTGCCTTTCCATTTTAAAAGTTCTGAATGTCTTTCAGCCTGGCTCTTGGGCTTTTCTCCTTTTCTTTCTCCCATCCGCTTCCCTTTACATTCTCTTAAGTTCTCCCCTCCTGGGCTAATAATTACTGCCTGAGCCTCTCCCATTCTGTCTCCCCACCCCGCCCAGGCACTCTGTGGCTTTATCGAGGCCGACAGGCCTTCTTTCCTGAAGGAGCTCCAACTGCCTGCTTATTGTGTTTGGTTGAGTCCTTAGTAATTTGCCATAAAGCCCGTAATGCAAGCGCTTCACTTAAAATCACCAGGCTTCTCGCTGGAAGATGAGAAAATAGGAGCTCGCAGGAGCTTGGCGGGAGTGAGGGAGCGGCACTGACCCCCGATAACGTCTCTGAGCCAGGGAGCAGCCTGGCCTGGAAGCGCAGGCCGCAGGCAGAGCTGAGCGGAGCCGCCAACAGGGAAGGCTCGGGGCAGCTTCACCCCAGGTTCTGGCTGCTTGTCTCTTAAAATAATCCTTCCTGACGAAGTTCACACTTTGCCTTGCGCCCAAGTCGAAAGTGAAGCCTCTTGCATCATCCTGTAAACTAAAAATAGGAGCTTAGGAGCAAGTTTCTGTTTTTGGTGAAATTGCTCAGTATTTGGGGTGAAATTTTCTCGTCCTATGAGTTTCCCTTTAAAAACACAGTTGCTATCGAGAGGAATTGCGGGTACAGCACCGTGGACCCCGTTCTTGGTGTTTTCTCAACATGACCAACATTCCGGAAAAGTGCTGCTGTGTGAGAGTCCGCTCGCCAGCCGGGTGGCCTGAGTCTGCAGGCCTGAGCCTGTCGCAGCTGCCCGCAGAGACAGGTGTCCTCAAAGCCTGAGGGTGTTACAGGGCAGGGATGGGGCACCTCTGAACCCCCAAACCGCCTGCTCTAAATAGGCTCTGCCATCCGCCGCATCAAGACAAAACATGCAAGACTTTAAGGAAACGGAACTTTAACGCAGTGAGGCTACAGCACGGAAGACAAAGAATGTAATGTCTAAATCAAACACCTGAAGGTACCATCCCCTCGCGGGCCAAAGTCCACCCAAAAGGGACTGGCCCAGCGCGAGGCCTGAAAGCTGCCGCAAGCCTAAAGCACCTTCTGGCCGGGACCCTAGAAAAGGGTCAGACATGGCCGGACACGTCTGGGAGGAAAAGAGCAACATCAGAACCGGTATAAACGCCACCCCAGTCACCTCCCCGCGGGCCTCTCGCCCACGTCGCTGTCAACCGGTCCAGGGCCGAGAAACAACACGGTTTCTTCACGCGCCTCCCTCTGCTCACGTGGCCTCCTCAGGCCTCCCGGCTCCATCCCGCTTCCTTCTTCTGATTCCTTCACTTTTCCTCCGCTCAGCTCCACCCACCTTCTGGGTGGGGCGGGGGACCTGGAACTTCCCCTTTTCCTGGGGACCCCCTGCTACAAGGGTGCCCGTGTTTAAAGCCAGCCATGATGATGCCCTTCCCTGGAAAGCACGGTTTTCTGCTGACAAGCCTGCTGTGTCTGGAAGCGCCCAGGACCCATGAGTTTAGGGTGAAGGGTTCGAGGCCTGCCGACTGGCACAGCCGAACTCTCCTGGGGATGCTGAGAAGTCTTTCGGGGGGGCAAGGCAAGGGTCCTGGACGCTTCAGCTGGAGACACCTCGGAGACCAGTGTGTCCATAGCCTCGGCGCCCCTGACAGTTTGACTTACTCCGTCAGATAAAGAGAGCCAGTGAGGCTTTGTGGAAATGGCTCGTGGCGAGCCCATCGGCTCAGAAGCCCATTCTGGCTTGAGGTGGCAAGCCCGGCGCAGGGGCTGAGGCAGCGTCCCCAGGAGAGAGGATGCCCCCCGCACCCCCCAGGGGAAAGAGGTCAGCGTGGCCCCGCACACACCCTGGCAGGGAGGCTTATTTCTAAATACCTGCTGGGAAGCAGCCTGCGCCCAGCCCCGAGCGCCCCGCCACGGGGCTGCCCTTTGGCCAGAGACTGGGAAGCAGGCCGTGCCCACTCTTCGTGGACGGGGTGGGGTGTGCTCCGGTTGCGGGTAGATCGACGAGAACCACGACCGCGGACTAAGGTTTTCAGACCCGAAAACACAGTGTGCCTTGGCGCGCCAGCTGGTCCTGCGGCGCCGAGCAACCCCAGGCCCGGGGCAGGCCGGGCAGGCCCTGGGCTGGTCCGGGGCAAGTCAGCCTCCCGCTGACAACCTGGTCTCTCTGGCCCCGAGCCGCGTTCTCTGGTGTTCACGCTGGGGGCAGGACTCGCCCACGCCCTTAGGCCGTCCCGTTAGGGCCCCTTCGTGCAGAGCCCTGTGAACTTGCCGGCGTGGGGGGCTGTGTATTTCTAGGAACGCTGGTAGCAGGCTAGCGCGACCTGGCGTTGAGAGGCGCAAGGGTCCAGTCCAGAGGGGTCCAGTCCACACTTACATTTGTTTTAAAAACAACTACTCGAGATGCGGATCTCCAGCGTCTCACCTGTCACTTGGGCTAAGGACAGACGAGGCTTCCGCTCAGCAGTGAGGTGGGAGCCTCGCCTTTCCAGGAGGCTAAGATGTGCTTATCAGCTTGTGAGAAAGGAAAGAAAAATCTGGGGAACCGAGAACTGCAAGTCCTGGATGTTTTCTTTGAAATGGAAATACGCTGAGGGAGGAGGAGTCGGGTCCGGGGCTTGAAGAACATGAAAGGACCCGGAGCCCCCTCTTAGAAATGCCCGCTCGGTCCTGGCGCGGGAGGGAGGCCTGCACCGCTCAGATGAAGACATCCCAGGAGGCGGGCAGCTCTGAAGGCTGCCAGGACCTGGGCGGCGGAGCGGGAGCCGGGCCTGGAGGGAGGCCGCGTGGACCGCAGGGGCGTCCCGACAGCCGCCCCAAGCCCGCGTGGTCTCCAAAATCTGTCCACCCCAGGCTTGCATGCATTTCTCCCTTCAAGTGTGAAAATGCAGCTTAGTCCAGAATCGCTTTTTTCTGAGCAGGAACAGCAGATGGTTAAGTCCCAGCCCTGGGAGGGGGTCTGATAGCGAGTGAGGTTCGCCGGGCCCGCCTGCCAGCGAGAGGGCTGGCTCTGACCGGGCCCGCCTGCCCAGCGAGGGGCCCGCCGCTGGCCCGTGTGTGGGCTCACGGGGCCTTGGCCAGAGGACACGTGCCCAGGAGTCACGTGTGGAGCCGCCACCTGCAGCGCCCCTGCGTGACCTCGGGTCTCTGCCCCGCAGATGTGGGAGGAGGCCATCGCCCTGGGCAAGGAGCTGGCGGAGCAGTACGAGAACGAGATGTTTGACTACGAGCAGCTCAGTGAACTGCTGGTAGGTGGGGGGTGGGGGGTGGCGGGGGGCGCGGCCCGGCGCTTTGCGCCTTCCACTTGGCTCCACGGCGTGGCTCGTGGTGTCCAGTCCAGCCATCAACAGCTGCTGGCTGTTCTGGTCAGTCACATGCTCGTGCTGAGAACCCGCCTTGTCCAGGCCACGCCCTTGGGTCACCGCGTCCCGGCCCAGCCGCCTGCCCCCCGGTTCCGGCCCCCCGTTCCGGCTGCCCCTTCTGGCCATGCCTAGCTGGTCGAGTCTCCTGAGTCATTTTCTCTACAGCCCACGTGCTTGACCAGAGTTTGGCAGTTGCGCACTCAGCACCATCCCTGCCCGTGCCACGGCGGCGCTCGCCCTCTGCCAGCCCCGTGCCCGCCCCACCCCGCGTCTGCCCCCCCGTCGCGGAGCTCTGGGCCCTTGGAGACGGGGCTGCAGTAAAAGTAGGGCGCGGCCCTCTCCCCACTAGTGTTTCTCGGGGAGACACGCAAAGGGGGTAACTGGATCATAGGGGACGCTACGTGACATCTTGGTGGGGCCCACACGGCCTTCAAGCGGCTGGCGCCGAGCGGTGATACTCTGGGGCGCCCCGGTCCCGGGGGCCGGCCCCCACCACTTGGCCCTGGGCTCTGGCCGCGGGGCCGCCACCTCGGCCCACTGAGCTCTCGGACCAAAGTCCGAAGGCGGCCGGCAGCGTGCCACACCCGCGGGCGCCCAGTCTCGCTGCTGGTGTCCCTGGGAGGCTGGGAGCCCGCCCGGGCGAGGCGGGTGAGTGGCCCACGCCCGGCCTCCTGGAGCCCGCTCGCTCGGCACAGCGTCCGGCCCTTCGAGACTTCCTTGCAGAATCCGGGGTCTGCTCCCTACCCATTCCTCGGAAGTGCTCGGGCAGCCGTTTCATCAACCAGAGGCCTCTTTGGTTATGAAAACACCGACACATCACAGCTGGACGCTGCATTTGACTTTCTGGCCAGCAGCCCCCGCTGAGGGACGGGACGGGGGAGGCTGTGTCGGAGCAGGAGAGTCCGGGCCAAGAGGCTCACTCCTGACCCGCATTGTCTTTCCTCCCTGCAGAAAAAACAGGCCCAGTTTTATGAGAACATCGTCAAGGTGATCAGGCCCAAGCCGGACTACTTCGCCGTGGGCTACTACGGACAAGGGTTCCCCACGTTCCTCCGGGTAAGGTGCGGGCTGCTCCCGCCGGCCAGGCCGGCGGTGGGGAGGGCGAGGCCTGGCCGGCGGCTCTGGGCTGCCGGCCCACCTGGATCGCGTAGCACCTCGGACCCGACGTCTCCTAAACAGGACGCTGGCGCCGAGACCTGCGGGCGCTGTTGGAACTGTCCCGACACAGCTCCCCGGCGCAGCCTCTCTGGGCGTGGCAGCCAGCACACCCGCGTAGCTGTGCGGTCATCCCCACCTTCCAGAACTTTCTTGCTCCCAAGCAGAAGTCGTCCCCACGCAGCGGTAGGCCCTGTCGCCAGGCTGCCTTTGTCACTGCACACCCGCCCGTTTTAGGAGCAGAACGGGCGGATCCACTGAGACCCACTGCTGAGGGAGCAGCGGGGAGACAGGAGGGGCCTGCCGCGACTGGGGTCCCTCCCTGGCGGGACCGAACTCAGGCCCCAGCAGTGAGAGAGCTGAGACTCAACCCCGAGGCCCCCGGGAAGCCGATATTAGCCGCAGGGCAGAGTGGGCCTGGCCTGCCAGTGCCGTGGGCTCGTCGGCGCGGGGCTCACCGTCCACCCAGCTGGCCGGGCCGGCTGGGCATCACCGTGTGTGTGCCCGTGGCCCTCTGGACAGCTGAGAGTTCGCCCTGGCGTCCTGAAGGGCAGGGCAGAGGCAGCTCTGGGACAGCCGTAGGGGCCCCCCACTGAAGAACGAAGGAAAGGCGAAAGAGAAAGTCTGTCTGTCTGGGTTCACCTCGAGCTGACTCTCCTGCCACCACCAGAAAGTTCTGTGGGCCCAGCCCTGTATTCCTCGCACATCACACAGCCCTGTCGGGGCCGTCGGCGGTGGCCAGCCGCCAGGCCGCTCTGAGGTCTGTCCCCTCCTCGCTCGGAGGGGTCGCCCGATGCCATGCGGGGCACCTCTGGGCCGCCCGCCCCCCGCTGACGTCCTTGGGCCGTCGAGGTTTTCCTCTGTCTTGGCTTCCGCGGGGTCTTTTTGCATTCATATGAACAGTAATGCTTCTTCCAAGGGATGAATAGCTCTGACTTTCGGAGTACCTTCCCCTTTCCGTGTTTGAAGGGGCCGCTGCAGAATGCGAAGTAGTTGACAGTTCTAGAAAACGTTGCTAGTGCTTTCATCTGTAACTCACTAGTGTCTTCCTGTGCAAGCTTTTACGTGCACTTCTACCAGTACGTCCCGGCGCAGGCATCGTAAACGCACGCGGGTCTCAGCGGCGCCTGTCTCTCCTTAACTGCCCCGGCCTTGCCAGTGTTCCGCTTTCTGCGGCCTTCCAAGACGCCCGCACTGTGTTTACCCTGCTGATTAGACTCCGTGTTGCCTTGATTTCTGCTCGGCGTCACGTTTCTGGAGAAAGGGAGATTTCTCCTCCATAGTGGCACTTTAAGCCATGCCTGGGAGTGAGGAGAGGACCCAGCCCCAAGCTGTTCCTTCCCTGTGCTCCCGAGACGTCAGCTGAAGTTGGGGCTGGGAGGGATACCAGCCGAGTGCCCCGGGATCGCTTCTTAACATTTTGAAAATTCAGTAGTGAGACAGATTTGGCTTTGACTTTGAGCCGACACTCTAGAAGGTCATTGTCTAGCAAGCATCCTGTCTCTGTCTCTCTCCCCACTGGCATGTGTCCAGGGTCTTGGCAGCTACGCGGCTGCCCTGACTCACCCCCGCCGCCGGGACCTCCCTCTGGGGCCCCGGATCCACACCAGGCCCGTGAGGCCAGACCCGCGGCCTCGCCTTTCTGGGCCCAGGGGCCCCTCTGCTCAGCGCCTTTCCCACGCCAGCTGCGCTTTGGTTCAGACAGCCCTCAAGTGGGGCGGGTGGGCAGGGATGCCAGGGCTGGGGGGAGGTGCAGCACCACTTCTTGGAACACTCCTGCCTACTCTGGAAGGTACACATACCTGTTCCATCTCGAAATCAGAACTCCCCATGCAGGTGTACTGAGAGCGACCCGTGGCCGCTGGAGAAGGGACCTCACAGGAGGCCTGAGAGCGGGGCCGGCCCCCGGGGCACCCGGCCTCCGTCTCCACAGCTCTTGGGTCTCTCGACCCAGGCTCTACGGCGAAGGCTTGTCTGCAGGTGGACAAGGCCCAGCCCCTGGGCAGAGCAGGCAGTCTCACCTCGCCCTGGGGGCCGCCGCTGGGCGGCACCCCGAGACCCAGCACCTCCATGGGATCGCGCGGCGTCACACTCGCCCCGTTACATGTGACGGCCTGATGCTGGGACTCAGGCTCCGGTGGCCTCGGCCAGTCAGCGGGCCAGCCCCCCCCCACCCCCCAGGCAGCGCTCTGTCCAGCGTGAGCTCCGGGCCACATGCCGGGCAGTCACTCAGCAGGCGCCCTGTCCCCAGGGGAAGGTCTTCATCTACCGGGGCAAGGAGTACGAGCGCCG